ACAAAGAAGCAGAACCCGAACTCTCCCCCTGCTCCTTCAACTCCTCTATATCCTCGTCCAGCCCCTTCAACATTGCCTCCCGAAGATCCTCCACCTCCTGATCCCTCTCATCCTTGAAAATCAGTCGGGCCTTCTTTCAGGCCTCCACCTCGGACTCCGAAAACAGCTCCAAAGGAGACGACATATCGTCAGAACCATAGTCATCTTGAAGACCTGCTACAGTACCACGAACATCCACCACCTTGTCTGCCAACTCATCCATGCGACGCATCAACTTGCGTATCAATTTTGAAAGTTGGTGGAGACCGGCGGAGACCTCCACACTGCTGATCACCTTACTTGCGGTGACACCCTTGTTGAATGAACAGGCAGTTTTCTTGACCTTGCAGCGAGAGCAAGTCCGCCCTCGACCGGCGTCTTCGGTTACCAGTCGTGCATAACACCATGCGCCATCTTGATGACAATGCACACAACTCCCTGAAAACAAAAGCTAAGTTAAGCCATGGAAGAAAACCAAGACACTTACTTTCACCATCCAACAATTCTTCGCCCTCCGCTGGCCCTGCCACTTCCAACTTTGCCTGCTTTTTGGGGCTAATGATTGCCTCTGTCTCACTGTCATCCACTACGCCCCTCGACCTGAACGTGCGTTTATGTCCCTTCTCTGCTGGAACCGCTGCCCTCCTTTTCCCCTCCCGCACTCTCTTCCTCCTCTCCAGGGTCCCCTCGGATTCCTCGGACTCATCGTCCCTCTCAGTCCCCTTCACCTGCTCATCATCGGACTCCGGAGGCATATGGCGAGTCACCTTCTTGAAGCGAAGACCGGGGCCAGGACCATACCGTTCCGCCAAAACTTGATGCAGCTGAAAATCAGTGGCCTCCGCGGGGGTCATCAGCAATCCATCCTCCATAACCATCCCCTCTGGCTCTACCTCCTCAGCCTCAGCCCTCACCGCTGCCTCCGTGGCCTCCCTCTCCTCAGCTGCCCTCCGAGCTGCCTCTCTCAATGCCTCCTCTGCCTCCTTAGCCCACCTCTCCGCGGCTTGCCGAACCTCCTCCCTCTTCCTCTCCAATTCCTCTTTCTGCTCCTTTTTCCGTGCCTCCCAGGCCACACGGTCCGCCCAGACCCTTTCCTCCCGCTCTTGCTCCCTTTGCCATTCCAAATGACTCTCCACGGCCTCCGCGTATTCTTCCTCCATGGCCTCCCATTCTAGACGAAACAATTCCTTGGCCTCTTCAGGGCCATCGGGGGTGGATCCCCTCACCAGAGGCTCGGGAGTGCATGAGCGACGATACGTGGTGAGCGATGACATAGGCGATGATGGTGATTTCAGATCAAGATATAAAACTCCCACGGCCACTAACAATCCTCCATGTGGCCCCACCGGCCATCGGGATCAGCGCTCTTGAGGGCAAGAACACTAAGGGGGGGATACTGTTACACGCATGCCGCCGGCCTCTGTGTCACCTCAACCAACCATGAATTCTATCACGCTACCCACCGGACTCCGGCGGCTTCCCATTACCTACTAATTTCATTTCACCATTATCATTTCACATCTGTATTTCACATTGTAATACCTAGACCCCGAACTTAGTAGTGAATATTCACACCGGAACCCAATGGAACCCGACTCGGAATTAGCTACCATTAGTATATAAAGCCATGTATATCACCGTAACTACTCAGTTCGAATATCAACTTGGATAAGCCATCTACACTTCATACTCACTCCTCCCTATCTCATCCGTCGGATTCCGCTCCGAAGAATACTCCTGTTCACTTCTCTGACAGAACTCTGTTCTGTCCATCCAGATCCTTGGGCTCCGACTCAAGGGTGACGTTGCCAATAGCTTCGTCAACGCCCACACACTCCGCCGGACTCTGCATGTGCACTCAAGCCCACTCGATTGGCACATTCCTAACAGGAGCCAACAAAGAAAAAGGAGCTCCAATCTTTCCTTGGCTTCACAAATTTCTACCGACGCTTTATACGAGACTACAGCAAGATCGTCTGACCCATGACGCAGTTGACAGGTAACGCCCCCTGGACCTGGGGGTTATCCCAACAGACCGCCTTCAACAACCTCAAGCAATGGTTAGCTGAGGACGTAGTACTCGCTATACCAACAAACGATGGGAAGTTCAAGGTGGAGGCAGACTCTAGCGAAGGCGCGATCAGCGCCGTCCTATCTCAGGAACAAGAGGGGAAATGGAGACCAGTCGCTTTCCTCTCCAAGGCACTATCAGTCACGGAAAGAAACTACAAAATATATGATAAGGAGCTACTCGCCATTATGCTAGCTCTTGAGGAGTGGCGACACTACCTGATTGGGGCCTCAGAAACCTTCGAGATATGGACAGACCATCAAAACCTGCACTATTTCCGACAACCACAGAAATTGAACCGGCGACAGGCACGATGGGTTACTGAATTGACTCAATTTCAGTACACCTTACATCATAAGCCGGGCACCGCCAACAAGAAGGCAGACCTGTTAAGCCAAAGAGCAGATCATGATCAGGGAGGAAGAGATAACGAGAGAGTAGTAATTCTCTGACCGGAGCACTTCCACGCAATGATCATGCCAACAGAAGACGAGATCCATGAACAGATCAAGAGTGCAACTCGTGACCCTCACAGATGGGATCAACGTATCACTCCCTCTCTCAATCATGAACAAGGACTAACAATGGAAGGAGGAATGATCCGGTATGATGGGCGAATCTATATACTCCGAGAACCCAGTCTCCGAGGGGAAATAATCGCACAGTACCATGACCACGTGATGGCGGGACACCCAGGAATAGCAAAAACAAAAGAGTTAGTACTATGGGATTATTGGTGGCCGAAACTCGACAAAGACGTCACCAACTATGTCAAGGCATGCGAGGCCTATCAAAGGGGAAAGTCATCTACTCAACCCCGAGCCGCGCCCCTACACCCGAATGAAATCCCCAGTGCCCCGTGGACCCACATATCCATTGACATGATCACCAGACTACCAGAGAGTCAAGGATATGACGCCATCATCGTTATCGTTGATCGGTTTTCAAAGGCCATCGTACCAATCGCCTGCTCCACGGAACTTACCTCCGAGGGCTGAGTGAAAATCCTACGAGACGAGGTGTATGCAAAGTACGGAATGCCACAGGTCGTCATCTCCGATCGAGGACCTCAGTTTGTCTCGAAATTCATGACAGACCTATATCGTTTGCTCAACATTCGCCAAAACACATCCACAGCATATCACCCCCAAACTGATGGACAAACCGAATGAGTCAACCAGGAAGTTGAAAAATACTTACGACTATTTATCAACTACCGACAGGATGACTGGACCGAATGGCTAGCCCTTGCCGCATTTCAACACAACAATCGCATACACTCCACTACAGGGAAAACCCCATTCTTCATTAACCACAGGCGTCATCCCCATCTTTTCCAAAAAACACAGCTCCAGACCACCACTCCGGCCTCCAAAGATTTTGCCAATACGATGCAAACTATACACACAGAAACAAAAACGGCCCTCGAAAAAGCAGCAGCAACAATGAAAAAGCAGTATGACAAACACAAGAAACCCTCATACAACTACGCTGTCAACGACCAAGTCTGGCTTGACACAACAAACCTCCACCTCCCACGACCCCGACAAAAGCTAGCAGATAAGCGTACTGGTCCCTTCCGTATCATTTCCAAAGTTGGTGCCTCCGCCTACAAGCTAAAACTCCCAAACACCTGGAAAATTCACAACATATTCAATGAAATTCTTCTCACACCCTTCATTGCACCCGCGTTCCCTAACCAACAGAAGCCGCCTCCCCCACCTCCATTACTTGTCGACGACGAGGAACACTACGAAATCGACCAAGTCCTCAATCATAAACTACATAAAGTTAAAGCGAGAGGGGGTGGCATGACAACCACAGTCGACTATCTGGTCAGTTGGAAAGGGTACGGGCCGGAATCCAATCAATGGATCAACAAAAAGCACATGTCAGCGGACAAAGCCATACGGGACTACGAACTATCCCTTAATTAAGCCATCAGGACGATGGTCTTAAGGAGGGGGTAATGTTATGATTTTTCCTCATTCTCGCATTCTAGCCCCTATCGATGCTTAGTCAAGGCATGGTGGGAAGAGATTGGTCAGCATAAAGAACTTATTCTCTTCGCCCATACAACGAGCTTGACGACGCACAGCTGCCCTTTTATGTACAACAACGGTGCTCAAGGACAACGGACACCATGGACACAAGTCGATACAATAAGTAGTAGTATTTTTAACCTCACACAAACAGTATTTAAGGCTCGTAGCTCTTGCTGGAGAAACTCAGCTTCAAGCTAAAGTTTATACACACCATTCTACCTCGAGTCAACTTCTGACCTTGAGTCACGAACCGCAGATATATCCGAGTGGACCCAGTTGATTCCTCGAAGTGCGAAGGAACACCCGCTTACCACGTGTGTCTGCTCACGTGACGCTTGGGCTTAACAACAATTAGGTATTCATATGGTTTCAGAATGGACTAAGATAAGTAGACATTCTCTTGAGGGATGAAGGGCATATTAGTGTACAACGACTGGTACCTAGAATTTTAAAATGACATTGTTTGGACTGGCGGTGTTCGTATTATAATAAAGGCTGAGATAACTGTCCGAAAAGATCGAGCCTGAGCCTTCTGATCCGTCAACATCTTCGGAGAAATGGAGCAGACGCTTTGGGGTGGAGGTGACACACGTGAAGTTGCGAAAAAGGTATTTTTGCCTCGCCGAGCTTCGGTAGCATTAGAGTCTGTCTGATGGGGCCCGAGAATAGTAGTGATATGCAATCTCACCAACCATCAGGACCACTATCATCACCGTTACTCGGAGTGGTACAACTTGGACACAAACAACTAGGATGTCGTCAAAAGGACGCGGGCCATCTTTTCGAGATGACAGCTTTCGATCATCCGCGCTGGTGCAAAAAATAACGAGTGATTAGAGACGGCTGCAGATTGTCCATACGTTCGTCCATCAATCTGTGGATCGACATTCAGGATCATAGGAAGGTCAAAATACAAACATATTAGACGTCATAGCTTGACATGAAAATTACATCATTCGAGAAAGGTATTGTACTCTGCCATTGGTCAATCTGCCTGAGTCGTGGTCATCCCATCATCTCCTGTGTCTATAGTAGTTCCCCGAGTACGACCTGCCTGGAAACGCAAGACAGACAACTGCAAGGTTGGGAGAGGATTTTCCTGCCGCCCCGTTTTGCGCAGATTTAAGATCACACGAGACATAGAGATCGATAACGCCGCTGATGTTGGACCATGAAGAACGTTGTATTTCCCCGGCTAGGGTATCAGGTTGTCAGTGCAAGCACAAGTTCGATGGAGAATACATACAGAGGCAAAACGGTATTCCAGCGCATTAGCGAGGCCAGTTGTAAGGACACTTTTGGAAGTCAGCCCGGTAAACGATGCAAAGAAGGAGTGGTACGTACACTACGAAGTACCACAACGAATCACGGACGACAATGGAAAGTAAAGACCGAGGCCCATACGCGCTCTCCATTTTAGGCACATTGAAATCTGATATTACTCTGTATGCAGCAAGGAGGAACATTATTGATTCGAAAACGGCTATGGGAACCCTTCGAGTTGCAAGTTCAATTCTTATAAGCTAAGCCGTCGAAGAAGAAGACACTTACCAATAAGCATACAAGATATTCAATTTACTAGTCAAGGAACAGAGAAAGAAGCCAGGCACCGGCTCGTTAGTCCCTATGGAGAGTTTTTATCAGTATTCGTTACAGGAAGCAATTCAGTGAATCTCTCAGAGCACCTGTCGCACGATGTGCCTGGATTCCCAACACCGTCGAGCTGGCGGCCACGGTGAGAATGTACAAGACTATCACGGGCACTACAATGCGCTTCTTTCGACCATATATTGCCCCAAGTCGAATTATAAGGACGATATCAGCGATGAAAACTTGTAGAGTTCCTGGAAAATTGAAATCATAAATTCGATAGAAAACGTCGACAAGCAATAATGATTTTAGTGTACCGTTGATGACGGTGATGTATCCGACCCATGCGAGACCTGCGATCTCCGTTCGAATCATCGATCAATGAAGTCATATAATACGCACAACTATCCAAATTCCAAAGGGTAAGAAATTTCATGTCTGGAACGATACGAGGTGCACGTACAACTGCGATAGGTCTTTTAGTCGTCGTTCAGGATAAAAATGATGGCGGGGGGGGGACACTTACGTTATAAGTGGGTTTTGGAAGAAGATACCCTTGAATTCATGCCCAAAATTGAACCTTGGGCTAATTATCGACGGATTATGCACATACCAACGACGTCAAATGTCTGTGAGAAAAGTACAAGATATCGATTCTAGACACGGATTAGCAACCTGAACTGAGCCAGTAAAGCCAAGGCGCACCACGAGAAATAGAAACTTGATCCAGGACCATCGGGATTGCTGGAAGATTCGTTCAGCATATCGGAGCAAGCATTAAGAGGCAAATGGTTTCCTACCCATATGAGAGAAATCTAAAAGTACTGTCAAATCAATTCACGTACGTATCGATGAAGAATTTACCTCATCGTCAAGTGTGATCGCATACTCCCACCATGTCCAAGAGAATGAGAAGACTGTATGAGGGTTAAATGGGACATTTGGGATAATACAAGAGACAAAAAATTCTACCTGCTGTTGTGATAGTGATTTTGTGCCAGTGATAAGCAGTCAAAAGACGTTGTATAATAGCGCTCGCTGGGTTTTCGAGGAGGTCCATGGAAGTGTAGTTCTAGTGGGATTGGCTGCCAGATGAAGGGTTTATGCCTCGGCTCTGGTTATCAGCGCAAAGCAAAACTCGTGGTGATCAGATACTAGCAGGTGTTTCAGGGCATCCAAAGAGTGCAAAAGTATCATCTGCCTGCGGTGCCTGGTTCATCATCAGACAGGGAAGTTCCCAAACACGAGAGAAAGAAAGTTCTCGAGCCAAGGTCACGGTTACGAGAAGCAATCTTTCCCTGAAACCTCGGGGAAATCAAGAGGTGATTGATTGAAATCAAACCAGACCTGCATCCCAGGTCCGTCGCCGCGCTGAGTTTGAAAACTCCCTTCTAACAGTAACAATGCGCCTCAAGAACGCCTGGCGGGAACACATTACTTCGTGACAGTCACTGATGTCCGTAAAAGTTGAATTGATCAGGCGTCGTGTTAAGGACAATCTTGGAATACCTGACGGTGAGCACGTCCCCGCTGCTCAATTACTACCCGTTCGACAACGCTGGATTCCTCTCACCTTTTGACCATAATGATCCCACTTCTTGCTTCTGTTGTTCTTGTCTACCTTGCTACAGTTCGCTACCTTAGGTACCGGCGTCTGCATGCTGTGCAAGCCAGGATCCGTGCCAGCGCTAAGGAACCTAGTCCTTCTGAAGCTCAGTCTGCTTTACAGGGAGTATTGTTGTACGACATGCCCTTCTTTATGCGCCTTGGGGCTTAAGTTGCACTCCCCAAAACATATGGGATCGTAAGCTGCTATGCGCCCCATTTTTTTTTTTAGTTATATTCATGTCGAAAGCCTTCCATCTCCGCTCTGCTATTGAAAACTTACGAAGAGGGTTACGGATGTGAATGCATTTCCCGCGTGTCCAGAGCATTGATCACAATTTGTTAAGACGGCCTTGCTTATCTCCACTTTCATCTCTTGTCCCTTGGAGCATTCGCCAACGACAGCGGAATCAACACCGTGTCTCGGGCCGAGGGGCAATATTGCGCTTGCCCGAGTGAATTGGCTGCATAGACGCTACAATATCGTGAGCATATCTTTCCAGTGTGGCCAATCGCGCTTTTGATATCAGAATCTTCGTAGTCAAATGATGATGTGTTGTATACGCTGGCTCTCTTTATTTTGGAGCCCATGGTTCGCCCCGGATCTGCTATCGCTATCCACGACTCATAATTTCCTTAGCGTCTAGTGGCGTCCGTACAGCCCGGAGGAAGCAAACGTAAGGCACCACCACTCCACTGCCTCACTGCGCTAACTTCCTCATGTGGAAGGATGTCGGTCGGCACATGAACATCAAAGAGATCCCTGAGACTCTCGGTGAATTAGAAGAATGGAGCAGAGTAAATCTGTTGCGTCTTTAATGAACTATCATCTCTGACTTTTATGATCAAGCAATATGAAAGCACCCATATGGTCCCGTCAGAGAGTAGAGAGTAGTCATCAGCTGGCCAACATGGCACTGGAATACATGAGCGCCCGAGTGCCAAATACACCTGGTGCAAGATCGTTGGTCAAAGATGTGTTTCTATGCCTTTTGGATGATCAGCTTCGAAATGCCATGATGTGAGCGCGCCTTGATACTCATCATTACGGAGATCTGAGAGGCTCGGGTCTATCAAAGACACCATTCGTCAGAAATCCACGTTGTTCACTCGTCCAAACAGTACGTGTCTTTTCGTCATCTGTTCAGTTCCTTATATCCCAGACCACAAGCAGCCATACGAGAAATGAACCCAAAAAGCAGCTGAGTTATTCTCCGCAAGAAGAAAGACATAGGACACTATGGGTACGCAGCATATGTCAAACTTTTCACTCTGATGTCAACGATATGTTCTGCGCTGGACATGAAAGGCTGGTGCATCTACCTCACTATCATCAGTCTATATTATCGGATGATTGGCGGCCGGATATGGGTTCTCATGTATATCTGAATCAGTTGTATTGCCAGACTCCGGTCGTTGCTGGAGACCATATGAATGAGCGCGTTTGGTATCAGGTGTAAAAGGCTTTGGCTGTACAGCGCAACTATATAATACAATCCTTGTAAAGTCTAGTACGTACTCTAACATGATATGCATCAAGCCTTGTCTTGACAAATGTACAATAATCTATATGTAACGAGAAAGAATCCGTGACTCGACGGTGAGTGCTAAACATGGACTCGGATACGGCGCGGAATACGGCATAAATTTGAAATTTCGACTCATTTTATTCTTTACTTCAATCTGTGAGATCCGGAATGCCTCCAAGACTAAGCAAGCGGCAACAAAGGGAGTTGGAGGAACTCCAAGAGCTTGGGGGATCCTCAAAGATCGTCGACACTGAAGGCAGCGAGGAGGAAGAGACAGCAAAGCCTGCCGCTGCTGGCTTTGCAGCAGTACGTCGATATCTTCCACCCTTTCGCAGCTAATTCAACTGATATATAGCTATTTGTCCCCGCAGACGACGATGCGGATGATGGTGATGACTCGATAGCGCATTCAACGAAATCGAAAAAGGTCCCTTTCATCATCATCAGTACACTGCACAGGGCGCTGATATATCTGTAGTCAGAGAAGAAGAAAAAGGTTCCAGCTCCTGTGGACAACACCTCGCCTAAAGCGTCTCGCTCCAGCACCCAAAAGACGGTGAAGAACGAGAAAAAGGCGGCAAAAAAGGCCAAAGCAAAGGCTCGGAAAGCGGACAAGGATGAGCTCGATGAGGTACTTGCAGAACTCTCACTCAAGTGCGTACACAGTTGCACCGTAATTGTGCGTTATCTCACGGAGAGCTAGGTATTCCAATACACCTTCGTCTTCCGGCACTACCACTCAAGCTTCTGTGGACGCTCTAGCCTCTCGGTTATCCGTGTCCCTATCCCATCTCGACAGCGAAGCCGAGATGCGCAAGTTTTTCGGCTCCAAGGTCGTCCAAGCGAGCAAAGCAGATACGCCCGGGGCTCCATCGTCCTCACGCAGACAGCATACGGCGCTACGCTCCCATCTGACTCGCCCGCAACCGGCTTGGGCCCAAGCACGGACTCGCCAAGGCCTGTCAATACGGCCCCTTGCTGAGAGTGAGTTGAGGCATCAAGCAGCAGCCGTTTCCGTTTCGGGCGAGAAGTGGTGGACTGTCGAGTACAGCAAAAAGTATAAGAGTATGACCAAGGTGTTCATACAGACCGTGCAAGCTGGTGGTATGTCGGCATATACTCATTCATGTTTTCAGCTTTCCTTAACGTTGTATTAGACCCGCAGGGACTATTTGACATGTGTCGGAGTATGCCCTGGCATGCCGATACGTTATTGCAGATGGCTCAAGTGTTCAGACACCGCGAGGAACACTCTCAAGCTGTCGACTTCATCGACCGAGCCTTGTTTGCCTACGAGCGGTCCTTCATCGGAGCTTTCACGTTTACGAGCGGTCTGAACCGCCTCGCGTTTGACTTTGTCGAGAATCGGCCCTTCTTTTTGGCTCTACATCGCCAAGCGGCGTAAGTTGATTGATTGTTCTTCCCTCTCCTTTTTTTTTGACAATGGGATGATCAGGGACCTTCAGCGTAGAGGGTGCCTACGTACGGCGTTTGAGTTTGCGCGGCTGATGTACTCGCTTGACCCGTGGAATGATCCACATGGGGCCCTTTATCATCTTGACTATCTTGCTTTTAAAGGGAACATGACTGGATGGTTATTGGAGATGTTTGATCTCTTCAAGGGGAGACGAAAGGAGAAGGGGGCTCGCATCAATCCTAGCATATTGCCTGGATGGATGTACGCGAGGGCTTTAGCTTTGAGAGTTAGTCGTGATACCAAGGTACCTCACTCTCTTGCTATGGATGTATCTGTCGCTAAAAAATTTCTCTCCAGCAACGGGAGTCAAGTACAAAGGCATTGATCGAGGCTGTCAAATCTTTCCCTTCGGTCGTTCCTGTTCTAGCGGATAAACTGGAAGTCTCGTTACCCACATCTATACGTGGCCATCGTGATTTCAGAATCGAAACCGATGGAAAGTGCGTGTATATCGATCTTTGTTTGCAGGTCTTGCCGTTGACTTCCAGTCTGTCTAGCTCGTTGAAAGAACCGGTTGCGATTCTTCACCTTTTGTCTCACCTGTACGTTCAGCGGTCATTAGCGGTATGGAAAGATCACGCCGAGTGGTTCAAGGAGACCGTAACTACGCACTTCTCCAAGACCTCTTCCCTTCCCGTAACCGACGAACGCAAGATGTTTCTAGAACTGTTCAGTCACACGAATCTACAGTACGCGGCCTATCGACACGTCATGGTGCTAGAATATCGCAACCTGTTCCGATACATTCCCAGGGAGATCCTCGCTCGGAAGTCTTTGGACTGTGATCCCCTACCTCCCCCAACGGCCGTAACAGCCTACGACGAGGAGTTCTTCGAAGGCGTCGACATTGATATACACGAACCTCTGACTAGGCGCCAGCGCCAAGCACAGGAGAGAAGGCTAGCACAAATTATTCCCGATGCGAATACTAGGGCACAAATAGAGGTGCGTATTACATTACATTCATGTCCATGGCTCTACGTATCATTAATTTTGTACTACTACATTTCAGGCTCTGATGGCCGCACCCCAAGTTGCTGCGATGTTTCCTGGTGGGATCATGCAGTTCCTTCAGGCGTTCCAGGATCTCCCTCAGGATATGCTGGATAACCTTCAGGACATCATGGTCCAGAATGAAGGGGGCATGGGGATGCCTGGGGGGATGCCCGGGGAGGTTGAAGTACAGTGGGCGGATCAGGATCCTGAGCCTGAGCCTGAGCCTGAACCAGCAGTAGGCGAAGACGAAGACGAGGGTGAGGATAGTGAGGAGGATGTCGCTCCGATGGCTGGGGTGAGCAAAAAGCACGTTTCACCTTCGTTCTGGTTTCTGATTGTGATGCAGCCCTTCCGGATGTTCAGCAATTGGGTAGGAAGTTTCTGGGGTGGTGGAAATACTGCTGAAGCGTCAGATTCAGACTCCGATGAAGAGCAAGCCGAAGCAGACATAGATTGACATGAGATGTTCCCCCTCTAAATATAAATGTATCCTTCCTTCCTTTCTTTCGTGATGGTCATCAATGGGGCATTACCGTGATGTTACACCATTGGCGTGTGGGTAGTCCGCCAATGTATCTGCATAGCTACCATCGACGAAGGAATCTTCTTGCTCTTCCTCGATGGCGTCTCCCCGGACATTATCGAGCATGCCGTTGAGCCCGACCTCGACGACAGCTAGACAACGACTGAGATCCTCGATGGTCCTGGCTAGTTCTGCACGCGTTTGGTGCGCTCCGACCAAGGTGGAGAAATCGAGAGGCCGTAAAGACGGCAGGATGGGCGAAGACAAAGCCGCTGGAAGATTCGACTCTGACCGGGAGTGTCCTCCTGAAAGAAGGGGTTCGGGCCGTGTATCTAAAGGCGGCGGGGAACTTGTTCGAGGAAGACCTAGTATGAACGACGACGCCGCCGCCGAGTTCTGGTGGGGAGTGTACATGGTTGAAGAGTTGAGATGGCTAGGCGTTGGCGAGAAGTTGCGCGTGGATGTACCGGCTGCTGAGGGTGAAGGAGGGAGTAGGTCCGCAAGCTGGTGTTCGGACGTGAGTGAAGGGATCTACCGGGTTAAAGGTTAAAACGTAAGGCTGTGGGTTTTGTTATAAGGAGTCTATAGCGAATGACAAACCTTCAAGACGTCTTTCAGTCCCGGTGTGCCTAGACCATTTGTTCGGTAGGACCCACTTGAGTCGCTGCCGCTGCGATCGCGACGCCCTGCAAAAGGTTTGATGGGAGGCAGAAGAGGCGGGGACGGACTTCGTGGAGGAGGAGCCGGTACGGGCTTGTATATGACTGTCTCTGGAAGTGCGGTCGCAGATCGAGTTCGGGTTATCGGTGGAGAAGACCGAGGACTAGACGCGGATGGCGCACGTCGTACGGTCCCTGATATGTCCAGAGAATACGTCGACTGATGAGAAGACTGAGCGGGACTCAGATTCTTCGTCATGGGCGCATCCTTGCGTATCCTTTGGGGTTGTAAAGGCAACGTAGGTTGTATCCTTGGGGATGCGGAATTTGGTGATGAAGAAGGGAATTGGAACGCAGTAGGGGATGCCAGGTCAACCTGGCGTCGGCCTCTTTGAGGCTCGCTATCTACCGGCATCGGAGAACGTTTTAAAGGTGTTTGAGTTCGCGCTGTAAGTGTCGAATTTGGGAGATCAGATGTCAGGCCGGCATTGGGTGTCGTTGAGAGTTCAATTGGTTTGGTATCTTGGGAAGGAGGGGGTATCTCGATATCGGCCAGTCCCCGCGTAGACCTAATATCACGATATGAGTGGGCAGACCTGGCGGAGGGCGTGGAATTCTGGGCCGCTTCTACGGCTTTGTCGATGTCGATGGTAAGAGGCATATTCGGGTCTTGCGAAGGTATATTGTCCCCTCGAGATTGGAGTGGGAATGGTATTTGCGACCGTTCATCATCAGAACCTGATATGCCAGGTAGTCCGGACTTTGAGCGTGCTGATTTGGGAAATACAAAACTTCGTGCGGTCTCAGCAACATCGTGACTAAGACCTTGGATGAAGCCTCCCAGAGGTAAGCTAGGCGCCTTTATGGTGCGGTCGTGACTAGGCGTTGATTTCGGTGGTGGGCTGGGAGTATTTCGTTGGGGCAGAGACAGTTGATGACTAAAGGGATCTGGGGCCGATTCATCTTCGAATAGACTGCGAAGCGAAGAAGGGAGTACGGGGCGCATACTGGGCGCAGGAGGTGGTGGCATTTCTTCATCGTCAGCATCTAGTGGAATAAAGTCGTCTTCGATTGTGGCGAATGGGCGCCCGCGAACAGTATCGAATTCCCAAGGTCTCTCATCATCACTGTTCCTGTCAAGTCTACATAAAGACGTCAATGAGAATTCCAAGGTAAATTCGTTACACAACGTACTCGTCAACTTCCCAAGCAAGAGGTCCCGCCAGACTCGCTCTTGGGCCTGCTTGATGCAAACGACGAACAGCATCTTGTAGAATGGAATTAGGAACCTTGGCATTAGATTTCATCCACTTGGCTTTGTACAGTTCGTCCGCCGAGGAACGCTACCCAGTCTGTAAGATCAAGCCAGAAAAGAAAAGAAATATTAGTAACACACCTCGCTGGGTAGCTCTCGGAGACACATTGCCATAAAGTCCCTCATGTCCTTTCCAGCTTCGCTATCCTGCAGTCGCGGAGGCTTCATCTTCGAAATAGTATCGACAATTGCTTCTGCACTCGCAAGATTAGAATGGGGAGGAGACCCTTTCGCCATCTCGTATATCATGATACCCAGGCTCCATATGTCGATTTTGGCATCATATGCTGGGTTAGTATGTAGGACCTCTGGTGCCATGAAGTGCAGCGTCCCCGTCATCGTGTTCCGTTTGCTTGATGTTGTCGCCAGCAGCGCCGACACGCCAAAATCACATATCATGACCTTGCACGTCGCGCTGACGAGAACGTTGGCAGCTTTGAGGTCTCTGTGAATAACAGGAACCTTGTGGAGATAGCTCAAGCCAATGAGCACCTCGCGGACGATGACCGCCATGAATTTCTCCTCCAAGCACCCTCCCCGTGATGCCTTCATCAGAGACAGCACGCTACCTCCGTCAGCGTATTCCATTGCAATCCACACCCTAGGGCCATCCATGTAGCAGCCGAAATACTTTGTAATGTTAGGAGCATCTCGCAGCTGCGACAGCAATGCCACCTCGCGTTGGATGTCGCCTACATCATCGTCGGCAGTGTCGAGGTCGATGATTTTTAAAGCGACGACGTTCCCGGTAGCGATATGGATACCCTTAGAGACAGAACCGTAGGCCCCTCTGCCGATGGTCTCGAGACGCTTGTAGAGGGTGAGGACAGACGGCTGCGACATCCGCGCACATGGACGTTCGAAGCCAAGTCGCGCTCGCCGTGTGACTCGACTTTGAGCCTTGCTTCTGCACCATCACTATGGACCTCGACGTCTCAATATCGCCGCTTGTCACTCGCGAATTCACTGCTGTCGTGCTCGCTGGATTTGGTGCCGAGTACGTACAACATTTTGATAGAATTTTTCTAGTACTGAGTCCGCGGCAGGCTGATACCTCTGACGAGCGATTATGGCGATGAACCGTGTCCAAAGGCTCTTCTTCCTGTCGCGAATAAGCCTATGATAGACTATGTGTTTGCCTGGCTGGAGCTCTCAGGCATCAAGGGTACGTGACTGCTACCGTTGACCGCCTTCAGGGCTGATATTCCATTATGTAGACGTCGTACTCATTTGCCCGACGGTCCACCGGCATGCAATCTCCAATCATATTCACTCAGAGACGAGCGTGTCCTTGCGTATCGACTTGCAGACGTACGACGAGATCATGGATGCTAGCGTCGGGACGTGCTCTCTATTGCGGCACTTTGCCCACCGCATACAAACAGATTTTGTTGTCTTGCCTTGCGATTTCCTGCCTCCACCCTCTCTTTCCCTCAACACCATCTTGAACAAGTTTAGATCTGACCGGATATCCGACGGTGCCATTGCAACTACATGCTGGTTTACATCAAATGAGATGGAGAAAGCAAACGAGCCGGATGACTGGAGTCCTGCTTTTCCTCCAGTCGCCGTAGTGTGGGATGATAAAAGCGGCACTCTACTTCATGTCGACACTGCAGATGACAGGGACATGAACGGTGAAGAGCTACAGCTTAGGATGTCCCTTCTAACGTTGTAAGCACCATGCATTCTCATCTCTGCTGCTCAACAAGTCCTCATTCAGATATCCACGAACCAAAGTGTCGACGAAGTACCGTGACTCACACGTCTACGTCTGCCGGCGTACTGTCCTCGACCTGCTACAAGAAAAACCGCATGTTGACTCATTCCGAGAAGAATTCATTCCTTGGCTATGCAAAGTACCATACCAACGGACACGGAGAGAAAAGTACAGTCATGTATTGAACCCCATCACCAATGCCCCCACCCAGAGCACTGCACTCCTTCATTCTACCTTGTACGATGAGCCCCCCATTCCGTCCTCAAACCCCAAAGACTCTGCCAGCGACGAAGGTAGTGGGTCACCTACTACGCCCAGCCTACGTGTGGGCGTTCTCCTCCATCGCGATCAAGAGCCTGCTGCTCGGCTCAATACCCTTCACGCCTACTTTGAAATGAACCGCCGCCTCATCACTCCCGACGTTCCTACAGACAGGTCGCTCGTTGACCAGAAAGCACAGATATCTACAGATAGCATGGTCGGACCTTCGACGCAGATCGGCGAGCGAACGTCGGTGAAAAAGTCAGTGATTGGGAGCCACTGTGTCATTGGAAAGATGGTTAAAATCGTTGGATGTGTGCTTTTGGACCACTGTGTCGTTGCGGATGGGGCCAAGCTGGATGGATGTATCCTCGGGAAGAATACGAAAGTTGGCGCCAAGGCTGAACTTTCACGATGTGTTTCGCAGGCTGGATACGAGGTCAATGCTGGAGGTGAGCTCGCATCATGCAAATACTAACGACTGCTAATCGTCTATCGTCAGAATCCATAAAGAATGAAAGACTGGAGATATCTGACTGGACTGGAGTCCTTGACGAGCAAGAGGATTCAGAAGAGACAGAGTCCGAGAGTGACGACGATTAATCGCTGATTTTTCAGGTTATCTACTGTCTACTGAAATGTTGTACGTTCGTCACCCAAATTCATGTCGAAACATCCATTCTTCGTTACTAAGCGTGTACACCATGTGTCGAGGGTAGATGGCTTTGCCCACGAAGGGTATTTCATGAATCATCGTAAGCCACCAGCTCGAGGGTACAGTTTGCCCGCCGTCGGGGCCTCCTGGCTATGTGCTGGAGCAGATGGCTCACTCAAAGGAAGACGCCCGCCGCGTTCCATAAGCCAACGAAGGATACTGTGGGGCACGCTTGGAGGACTGAAAACACTTATGCTGTCTTGATCTAGTGTTGGACCGCTGGTCGACGAGCAATCTGAGGAAAATTGGTGGAACTGTAGAAAGTAGCTGAATCTCTGATTAGAGGCATATGACCTCCATTGATTCGGCAGAGGCAATAAGAAAATACCACAGAGATCTGAACGAAGATTTCTGATTTCTCTGGGGATAATCATGGGTTAAATAATGCGAATCTGAGTCAAGTATCGCGTCGGTACTGGAACAAAGTATACATGATATTATAAAAATTTATTTGCCACATCTCCGGCCGTCTACGGGCGCATCGATAGATGTATTGTGGATGGTGTGTTTGGAGTATTGATGAGTAGATAAGTAGGCAGGTAGGTAGTATTACACGGTCCAACTGGGGACGTCGGGCGCAGATGATACATGATTGGTACACTAACACTTTAGCATAACAATCCTGTACTTAATTATCTACTGATACCTCTAACAAGACCATAGGCGGAGCTCACGGTCAACTTTACGCCGCTGGCCCCGGCCATAGGATAGCAGAATTTTGGGATCTATACGACATGCTGTCCTTATTATGGCCACCAAACTCATCAAAAATACATTTCTAACTAGAACTAGGATGCCACACTGCTTGGAGATATCTATCTTCCGGGATGCATTTCTTTAGCGTATTGTAGTCGTACCAAACGACGACCTCTTTACTAAGGGTAACAAACGCACGTTGGCTGAGGGAATAGGCCGAAGCTTCTAAATTCAAAGCTGACGGGTCCGGTCTTTGCCCTTCATCTGGTTGAACAGGGCGGTGCGCCATCATGAGCTGCAACAAGTTCGTTAGTATTGAGTAGGGTGCGGACGAAATGGAGGATGATCACGGTGTCCGGGTAAATAACGGGTCGTCGAAATCGCACCTCAATAGATTTGAGGATAAGAGAGACGCCTTCACCCCGAATGAGAGAGTCGGCGGCAGATGGCCCACCGAGTTGATAGCCAAGATGCCTCATCCAGTGAATACGACTCTGATTTGGTCATTGAATTTCAGATGTTGCATAGCGATACAGAATACTAACTGATTCGAAGAACCGGACTGACGGGCATCGCCAGAATCAGTCAGGAAGCGAACTGACAGCAACCAAGCTCACCATAGCGGACATTGTTCACATGTCTGCAGGAAATACTCAGCCGACGATAGAAAAAATATTTGCTTGACTCACTGGAACGAATCATGGTCGCCCCATACGATTTGTTGTTCCCAAAAGTATCGAGGATCGTAGCCTGCTCGGGAGAGTGCCTTGTGCGCGTCCGCCTTGGCTTCCTGATACTGTTCTGACCGAAGAAAAAAAATGTTAATAAGTGACGTTTGTTGAAACCTTCCGAGGATAATACCAAGTGTATCCCCAGGGCCTAGCTAATTCAACAAGTACTATATGTTAGCATCCGGGGGGGAAGACAGCGGCAGAGAACAAACATTAGCAATCGCACGTCTTTGATCCCGTCGAAATATATGAGGGGAAAAGATGCTCCCTTTTGCTCTCACAGCTGAACGGAGTGGACTTTGCATCCTTCTGACAGAGGAACAAGTAGAGATTTCTGGCACTCGCCGGCCCGGTAGTTGCCGAGGATATTGTTGGTAGAATTTCCAATTCCATATTTGGCATTCACCACCACTTCAACTACGTTTTTATTTCTTTCGAATGAGTCGATCGTCAAAGCGCATCAAAGTAGACACCTCAACTCAAAAAATATCCTCAGGAGAAGAAATCAAGGCGCTACTGCGGTCACAGGATGTCGAAACTCTAACTCGAGGTACGGTGTTCATTTTTTTCTGCGTGTCGTACCAAATTTTCTGCAGGACTCACTTCCATTCGGAACCAATTTACGGTCAAGCCGAATGAAACAATATCTTCCCAAGATAGCCGTTTGGTCCTTGCACAACAATGGTTGAATGGGTCGCCTGGTGCTGAGGATATTTTCACTCTCTGGGCGGGAGCGGAACAAGTGAGTACATTTGCCGATGAACTTTCGGAACGCGCTAAACCGTATTCGTAGCGCCAGACGGCATTGATATCGTTGTTGGTATCTGTTCTTGCTGTGACTTTGTCGCTACTTTCAAGCCACTACACGTACCATTCGTTGGGACATCCAATTGTCAAGAAGTTGTTTTTACCTCAATGGACGCGGAAACTCAACTCGTATATCGGTGGATCTAGCAATGACCTGATTCTCTCTACCTTGAGGCTGTATAACAGCCTGTCTGGCTTTGCGCGCGGTCGTGAACGGAAGGGCGTAATGGAGGCTTTTGGTTGGGAGATCAAGGTCTGGATTCATTTTATCAGATATGCATTTTTAAAAAACCATGAGTCTTAGAGTCTACCAAAGTTGCTGAACTTAAGACGAAAATCCAAGACTGACGAGTCTGTAGACCCGCTCTCCAAGCCTGGTGAGTTTTTACGACATCCTGAACTTCTTTTCTAAATGGCCATGGTAAGATATCCGGACGCTGTACATGCTTTTCCTCCTATCATTTGTGGATACCGATACCCCTACGCCAGTCAAGACCATGTTTATGGAGCAGCATCGTGACGCCTTTGTCTCTATGTTTAAAGGCCTATCTCAAGACCATTATTCTGTCATTCGTAGAGTTTTGGAGGTTTCTTGGGCCGGGATATGGTCTGAACCCAAGCTGAAGCGAACGCTTAAGATTGGCGTGTTCAACGAGACAACCATAGCGCAGGTAGATTCATTTCTTCTGCAAAGTTAATCAGAAGCTAATGCTCATAATAGCTAGCGAAAGTCTATGATCGTGTAGATTCCGAGGACGACGATCCGGAACATGTCTCTGCCAATATTGTGCACCATTTTCTTCTAGCAATATGTACGCGGCCAGGTACGGGAATTTGTTTCAAGGACAATGGATGGTATCCCCGTGACGTCGAAGACGCGCAAGACGATGAAGAAGTTCCCAAGAGCCGAGGAGGAAAGTTGTACAATAAGATGTTAGCGAATGTCTTGCGATCACTCAAGAGCAATGAGGATATGCGACAGCAGGAACTCAGTTTGAAAATAATGTCTTCATGTCCTGAGCTCGTAGCAGGGTAAGCAAGATATGCTGATTATTTCCTGTTGACTGATTATTCTCTAGATATTGGTCCTCCGCAAGTCTAACTTTGGAACCTCGGCTGTCATCGCGGTGGATCACAAACATAGCCTTGTTTGGATCTATTGTATCCCTCCCGATTCCCGTTTCTTGCTTCATTCTTTCAGAGAACTCGGATGGGTTTCTCTATCGGCCATCCCCCCCTCCTCTGTCTATCATTTTGGAGAACGTCTTTCCTTCAGTTAACACCAAGGTTCATTTCACAAAAGGACTGCAACAAGCTAGCCGCAGTTTGGTGCAGCACTGTACCGCTTTCGCGCTATCAAAATGCCTTATGAAGTACCGCGATGTCACAAGTCATTTCCGAATGATCGCAGATGCGCTGGAGGAAGGGGAGGCCGACGGACAGTGGTCCAAGCGATGTCGCGAACTCGAAAGGGAGGCGCGTAAACGGGTCCCCGAATTTCAGGTCATTGTGGGGTATTCGCAGCGGACGACCGGGCAACTTGGTTCCCAGCTCACCGAATCTCAACGCCAGACGCAAGCTGCCCTACTAGCGGAGAGTTCCCAGCGACTATTGTGGCTCTATCACGACTGTTTACCGAGTTTAGTCTCGGAAGCTCGTTTTGACATCGGAAAGATGTTAATTAACTTCTCGAGTACCGAAACGGATGAAGGAGAAGGGAACAGTGAGAGTCTGTCATCGGGGGCGCGACAACTGCATCTTGTTAGACAATTACACGTCCTGAGGCTCCTTCAGTCCAACGATCAGTTTTCTTGGACTTCTAAACCAGGTGGGTCTTCCATGAACTAGAAGAAACATTGACACTGAAGAATCATCGAATAGGTTCATCAAAATTCTCCTACTTGCATATTCTGTTGCAAGCACTCACATCCTCCAATGTTTCTGCGTTACATTCCGCACTTGTCCGCCTTCTGGAACATCTGTTGAGCAACAGTCTCATGTTCCAGCATAATCCAGATGAGCCTCATCTGTGGTTGATTTCCTTGCCCACGGGATGCCGCCCATCGTCTGGAGGCGAATCACCTGATGGCGCCACGCTCACCGATGAACCAGAAAGCGTTCTTGCTTTTCTTGATGATTGCATACAGAGGTGTACTAAGACGCCTTATCGCTACATTGAGGAGATGCAGGCTTTGGAATCTGAAGATCATACTGAATCTCAGTTGCCAAGTCCGCTACTGATGACGCTAAGCGAGCAGCTTTCGGCTAAAATTGCTGCTGGACACCTGTCCGCTTCGGATGTACTTGCGCTTGCGACATTCGTCAGGAGTCTCGTTTTTCAGCTTCACAACAGTTTCTGCCATAGGAAGGTACTGCTTTCCTTCACAGACAAGATTGACGGCATACTCGATCCCCAAAAACTATTTCCCGATTATCCGATCGTCACTACCGCCATTCGGAGAGAAGTTGAGATCCTCAAGTACTGTCTGTGGTATCCCCGAATTCCCAAGTCCCCGACGCCTACCAGCGTTGGTCAGGATGTGAAGAGTTTTCTTCATACCGTTGAGGAAATGATGATACGTATGTTCATGTTCTTTTCCCACACAGCCGATGCCTGACTGTAGATCGTAGCTCTAACTAAGTCGGCGCGAACTGTGGCAGCTTACGAGTTGGTTGACTGGCTTCGGCTGCTGGAACAGCAGCTGCGGCCGGTTGACATGGAACGCTTAGTGGCGATTGTTCATCTATTCTTCCCGCCGGCTCTGGAGGGATTGTCACAAGCTGCGAATCCTGCGCATCACCTACTCTGGAACGGCACCAAACTAGTGTCGAAGAAATTATTGCCGCAGTGAGTATACAGATTACATTGTCCAGAAACCCCATTAACGACCCTACCAGTGCCAAGTTCGATTGGCTGTTTGTGTCTGCTGATGAGGTGCAAATCCAAGACCCAGAAGGGCAGGAGATCCTCATTAACGCGGTATTTACGCATTCTTCATCACTTTCAGATCTGAAGAGGGTGACCTGCCAAATTAACCATTGCCTAACTGCCGCCACTGAAAGAGCAAGCCTGCTGTGTGGATTGTTACAGCTCTTGAATTCTTTAATTACGCGCTCGGCTTCCTTGTTGGCCAACGCCGATTACACCGCACTGAAAGAATTTGCATTCACTCTGGAGTCCGTTCAGAGACTGTGCATGTCTTCGACTTTACCTGAAACCGTGCGAGAAGGTAGGACGATTGAATATGACGTCGATGGCTACGTATACTGATGCTCCTTTTTAATGCTTTAGCTCTGCGTGTATTGGTGAAAGACACTTTAGATGTCAGCTCGTCAGTTGAAAGAGGCCTAGCTTCAGATATAGCCTTCTACTGGCTAAACGAGGTACGGGTTGGCTTGGAAAGTGATGCAGGCGTCTCAGTGAGTTTTTCTTATGCCACAACATTCGAGTTGCTGACAGACGGCAGCTCGAATCAGCGTCGATATGGGTGGTGTATCTTCCACTGGAGAGTTTGCTTGATCTTTTGGACTCATTGAGCCAATATTTGGCAAGAAACCATAAACAAGCTTCTATTATTGATCTGCTGGACACTGTCATCAGCGCAGTTCGGGACTTCGCACTGCAGTGTGCTCAAGCGGAGTTCCTCCTCCGTACAAGGACGATACTGCTGATCAATCTTCGCTCACGTCTCCCTGATTCTGCGGTTCTCGAAGAACTCCTCGCGATAGCATTACGTTCTTCCTTGCCATTACACACTGAAGGACTATTACATCCCATACAAAGTAGCGCAGATGCTGAGACGCGCCTTGATCGCTCAATGGCACGATGGAGCCATCGGTTGGAACCTCTACCTACGGAGCTCCAGCTTATCACACTTCTACAACAGGGTCATTGGACCGCGGCAACGGCAGAGATCCTCCGCTGTCTGATTTATAAACACGCGTGTCCTCACAGCACGTTTTCCTCGTGGCTTCAAACTAACCAATCCTTTGAGAGAGATCCCTTTGAATTGGCATCTGTCCTGTATTCTTACTTGGACGTTGCCAAGTGTCGTGGCGCAGCCTTTTCCGAGGCTGAAGCTGAGCCATGGCTTCAGCATGGCCTGCGAATGTTCAAATGGTCGACCAATGAATCCTCGTCTCGCAGTCTCCGGCATACAGCTTCACTATGTATCATCCTCATGTTCCGGTTGTTTCCTTCCCATCGTTCTCAACTTGAGGATCTGATCCTGAACGATCTGCGTAAGCTATCGGTCAAATCGCTTACACCGGACATGTTGCTTATTGGCCTCAATATCGGAGATGAAAGTTCTGCATTGACAGATGCTCTTGCTGAACATGGAGTACAATGGGCTGTGCGTCATTTTACTGACGAAAATCCCGTTGATGATATGTCTTCTCGATGCGTGGAACATTTGAGTAAGTAGAATTCGTATCAGTTATCGTCACAGGCGCTAATATTCTACAGCCGACATGCTCAATATTGTGTCTCTAAAGCCACACATTGTTGAGCCTCTTCTCACTGCTGTAACACAGCTTCAACTGTGGAATACGGCGGCATTGGAGTTATTGACCGCAGTTCTGAACCATGTTCCCTTCAAGGTACGTGGATGTGCCCTTGGGACCGTCCGTCCATGCTTATTTATACCTTCGTTAGCCTTTGATAGTAAATCGTGTTCTTCAAAATGTCGTACAACACCACCGCTTTGTGAAGATATGTTCAGTGACGGGCGCCTCTTCATCACCTCTAAGAGATGCTACTATCGGTCTTCTCCACGTTTTGTTCCATCTTCATCCTGCGAACACGTGTCAAATTACGCATGTGGTACCGCTAATGGCCGTGTACCGTGGCACCACATCAATATCTGACCGGAAGCTGCTTTCAATCTTCCGTCTTTTTGAGGCGCAACGAAAGACCTCGATCGGGATTCTGTTCAATCAGTGGAATGCATCGCATGAGACGACGTCGAACGGTGCTTTGGAGGCCATCCAGAGCCTAGATCCAATAGTCCTTCTCCAAAGTTGCCTTTACTATCCTAATTGGCGGCGCATTGATGATCAGATTGACCAGGCTGAGCACCCAGCACCTATCTACGACCCTCTCTTCGTCATCCTTTTGTTCGCCCATACCTTAGCAGAAAACCCACCTCAGGGTACTTTTCCTTGGATCGAATTCTTTCGGACGAACGTTGTCGGCCTTGTTATCCGATCTCTTTCGGCTAAAGATGGTCACATCCGCGAGCTCGCGATATACTGCATATCAGCCTTGTGGAAACAATTGGAAGTCAGTATTATCATCTGTAAGTTGTTACGCGACAGCTAACCGTACGGTGTTTATAGACAGTCGAAATGCAAGAGAAGACCTCTGTTCTTTACATACTCGGTCTAATCCGAGATGCCATACCGCAACCATCAGCCGAAGAATGCCTAAAACGTTTGCCGACATACTCCACCTTAGTATTACTACATGCTTTGAGAGGCGTTTTCTATCCGTCTCATTTCACGTACCCGTTGACCGCGCGGTTCTTGCTGCAACGTCCGGAGCTGGACATTAGCGATGTGCCGATGCTATTCGGGTTGCTATATAGCAGCTCTGACAACTGGAAACAAGAGAGGGCGTGGATGATCAGACTTCTGTCTGATGGACTGGTCAGCACAGATGACTGGAGGGTTTTCAAGCGTCGGCATACGTGGGATCTTCTCGCGAGCATTTTCCAGGCGTCCGATGACTTTGCTTTGCGTAAAGGCATTCTTGAGGTTAGTCCAAATACTAGTATCTGGTCTTGTTCAACAACGGTCTTTTCCTTAGGTACTGACGAACTTGACATGCATTCCCCAAGCAACAACATCCCTCGTTTTGAAGTCGGGGCTTCATTGCTGGATTGAAATGCAACTGCTCAATCTCGTCGAAGACGAGGGTGTTGCATGGCTGAAGATCATCGAGAACATCATATGTTCTAGTGACACAAAAAAATTGGAGACTGCTACGAGCGGCCAGTGGCGATGGATAATAGGCCGTTGTATTTCGCTTCTCATCAACAGCTCGTCATCAGGTAAGAGCACACCTGATTCTCAATCGATTGATGCTCAAGGATCGTCCTTTTAGTCAAACTTCCTGTGTTATCATTGACGGCCCGCGTGCTGCTGCGCCTCGCTTTGCTACCCGGTCCATCGATTCCGAGCTTGGCTTCATTGCTTAACCGGACCGTCCACTGTCTTGAAGAGATGGAAAGGCAGATAGAGTGGAAACCGTTAGGAAGCAGGAAAGCATCCACGCCACTGTTTTCGCTTCATAGCAAACTCCATTTATTCAACAACGACGCATCAGATGACTCTGTAGGGGAATGGGGTCGAGCAGTCGAGTCTCTCTGGCGCGTATCGATGACATTCTCAAATAAAAGGCCGAGTTGGGATCTCTTGTCCAGTCGGTTATTGTTATGGCGCGCGCTGATGGATGCAGCGGACGTTAGTGGTGTCGCTGAATGGGCTAGAGCGGAAGTCATTAGAAATCTAATTTAGTATTCATTATGTCTCCATTTTATATCATTATGTATCCTGTACATTCTTATGTTCCGATATATAAATTACAGGTCAACAGTTTATAACTTTGATCGTCCTGGTGGCGTCCCGTTCGAAACTAAAGTACCAAATATAATTTCCCCTAGTTTGTCGGGCTGCTCTTGGGGTACCTTGCACCATTTTCAGACCGGTGCATCTATTCACTCATACTTGATACTCACCAGATGGCCAGACTCCGGAATCGTAGTGATAGAAGCAAACTGTCGCCCGGAACTGGGATCGACAATCGCTTCGTGCACATGTTTCGGTCTGTATCGATCATCAGGGATGGGGATACTGTACTAGATCGCCTAGACTTACAGGAAGTCATGGATACCACCTAAGACCAAATGCACCGGCCGACTCGCGCAAACTTTGTTCAAGTCGCCGATAGGCTTGGTAGCGCCTTCTGGATCTCGATACATGGCCTTAGGATTTCATGAGACCGTGTTTCGACTTTGCTGGATATCAAGTGCGACGCACCGCTTCTTGGTCCCGGGTGCAAGCAAGTGAGAAGCCCACATAAGGATTTTCAACGTGATAAGAACCCGGATGAGGTCGGATGGCATGTTGCTGGTGGAATCAGGCGTCAGCCGTATATGACTTAACGCCGTAGACGTCGAAAGGTTAACGTACAATATACAGCTGTTGGATCCGAGGGTCCCACTTCTTTGTCCGATTACCACGACTCTTGAGGGACACCATGACCGTCGTGAGGTCTGGCCATACGTCCCGACGTTCGTATGCGCCCTTGATAAGAATGGAGCGTAACTGTTTTAAATGATGAGCACCTTCTGGACTCAGCAGCGGTTCGACAAGTATTATCGACGAGAAAGGAACCGCGGATGACATATACTGCAGCATCGTCCTGTTCAGAAGGTCTCGTCAAATACCGGCAGAAGTGGATCCAAGGCACTTACATTGACACGCCTCCAAGTGAATGTCCCACACCCACAAGGTTGCGCGTTCTAAAGTCGATTCCATGTGCAGATTTGGATAATAAGAAGCGATGCGTCGCCTTGGCGTATTTCTCGCAGCTGACTGGATCGAACATTGTCAATGCATGGCGTCATCGAAGGGAGACAAACGCACAGTTTAAATAAAATTCTGGTGTCTGCAACACCGCCTCGTTGAGCACTGCCGATGCGCCATGATTGGGACAATCAAGCGTCCACGCCTCCCGGATCCGCACTGGCCCGCCTAAAGAAGCGAGATCGAAAATCTTTTCCAAAGTAGGCTCCCAGCTCTCTTTGTGAAAGCTTGTTCCGTGAAGACATAGCAGCGTCAATGCATCCGAAGCTTGGGATGCATGCACAGGACTAGAGGACGTCCAGTATCTTTTGGCAGTCAAGAACAGGGGATAGCCGTCATAAGGAGGAACGGTAATCGTTTCTGAGAGCATTATCAGCTCGAGTAACTCGAACGTAACGGCTAGCCCTTACTTTATATTATTTTAAGAACCAAGCGCTGGATGCAAATGAAAAACAACACAGCCGCTTTTGACAACATGTTGGCTGTCATCTGAGGAAGATGCCGCTCATTCCGCTTAATACCGATGCATCGGACCTCTGTAGCAGCACTATCGTGAGTATAATAGAGCGTCATGCCGTCAGTGCCGTTCTTAATGGAAGCTCGAACAACAATAATGCGGCGAAGACCTTGGGATTCTAAGTCCTTGTAAGGGATGAGAAAAGCATTGTTATTGTTCAGTACATCTTTAAGTAATTGAACCTAGCTTGTCATCCAACTCCTTAAACTTTAGCAACAGATCGATTTCCCGTAATTTCAAATCCTAGTAAGGAGTTCATTAGAAAGTCAATGTTTGCCCAGTGCTTGCTGTAACGGATGCTCTGACGCTGGCATTCGGTAACAGCGTGTAAGAGTAGGCACTGCGTTTCCGACCCTGGGGGGGTTGAGCAAGATCAATCACGATCCAGGGGATTACGCATTGTTTGTATTATCAAGGTCGAAGTCTAATAGTCATTATATGAGAATGCAATGGGTAAAAAATCAAAGAGGTATACGTTCCTTTGCCTCAAGCTACAGTAAAGCTTTCGTCGGTACTGTAAAGAGGCTTGTCAATGCCTGACAAGTTCGATGGTAATATTGAAAGAACAAAACCTAGATCCCACAGGTCCACACGTTATTTTTGACAAGAAGATGGACACCCGATATTGGCACTAAGACAATTGAATCACCACCACCACCACCATATGAGCAGAAGAACTACTCACCATCACGAGTGTTTATGCTGTCGTTGTTGTCATCGAAGACCCTAAAGAAGGAAGAAAGTGAGTGCTCAAATGGAAGTAAGAACACAGTTCATATATTAGTGAAGATGTGACCGTGTCCGGATCTACTGACGTATCAAAATACATCCATAAAACATCATGATCAGCATACCAGAACAATGAAGTACACAAATTCGGGTCAAACCATCAGTTATTGGCGAAGATAAAGATGATGGCGACGTCCTCAGATGATTGTTGTCAGAACGGCCAACAAGAGAAGCCTTCCAATGCGTGTACAACTTGCTGTTTGTAACGGTTACATTAGGCCGTGTGTGATGTCGAGCAGTCCATCATAGCTGCGAATGTTCCTTAGAATATATTAAACCCACTACTCAGTACCCAAGGCACATGCAAATCCTGGTGAGCACTCGTGACGAAATAGAAATATACGGTGGACACGTACCTTATCGTGGTCTCTGTCACTGGGAAGATCCAGGTGATTAAGCCAGACTTGACTGGCAGACTGAATGCTAATGGAATCTCCAGCTGATACCAGAACCTTCGATATACTGATGTTATGGATGATTATATTTGATACCGACAATACATACCAGTGGAGACCAATGTCATGTAACGACAGTACTGCCGGTCATTGAAGTTCCTGGAGAAGTCATGTAAATTAGTCCTTTCAGCAAATGGAAAATATTTACCAGAGATAATAAGAATCTTGGACTGTCATCAGTTACAGCGCACTGAACGTCGTGACCATGGTCATGGGTCTACCATGCCCAGCGGTAGTACTTGTGATATTCATAAATTTAGATGTATAAGTCCAGGGGACGGAGATTACCCGCCATTGCGAGTAGCATAACCGACGGTAGCGACATCACATAAGGATGTACCCTTGAAGATTTCATTTTCGCGCGGGGTGGCCTAGTCAAATACATCAGAATATGACGCCGTTTTGAGTGATGGCACACGTGCAGAGTTAGCAATGACAGCAACAAAAGGCAAGAGAGTGTAATTCCCCTTCATGAAAGATGAGAAAGCACCGAGAAAGGCTTTTGAAGTGAGCCTTCGTTAAAAGTATAGCTTTTATCTCAAGTTTACGCTTTGTCCTTGCTCTAAACGGTGCTCTTATTTCTGCATCGCTGACCGCCTGGAAAGAAAGAACCTACGAGGAGTGAGAGAACGCCGATTGTGCATATACAATGGCCCGAAGCTTCACTTTTAGGCGTATATACTGAACGGTTCCGAGTAGAGGACGAAAGGCTCTTTCAAATTTTGGCGACCATCTGTGCAGGGAAATCCAGTTTGTCAGTATACGGGCTTGATGGATTATATTGGCGTACAGAATACCAAACAGCAATGATAGGCAGTCACTTTGGCGAATTCGTAGCGTGTTATTCCAACCTACTTCTCCACCACCTGCTGACGAGTTCCTGACGGTCAATAGATTTCCGGTCACGCTGTACAAATATGGAAGGTTCTGAACAAAATCTCGTGGCAGGCCGTCCAGGCAGTCTCAAATATGCTTGACGCTGTCGGTGGTGAAGGACCATTCTGTTTACGCTCCACAAATTCCATTGTGCGGATAATTTCAGACCGTCATCAGCTCAAAAAATCCGTCAGATGACATGAAACTCACCCTTTCTGAATACCGGATAACTAGTAACTCGTCGCACTGGAAGAGGTGTCGGAATTACTACTGTAGCAAAACTAATAAGCTGAAGATACAATACCTGCCCGAGGTCAATCCATAACTTTAGCGTATGAGATTAGTCCGCACTTTCCACGCTGAATATCATAGAATTCAAAGGGAAATTACCTTCTTTTCAGTGGTATAGACCGTGGTTCAACTTGGGGTTGCAAATAAATTGTCGATCGGACAAGTTGGACTGACTCGGACTTCGCGGCCCGATTCGGCACTTGCATGCTGACATTGTTTGGCATTGCAGCATCGGTGTACAAGCCACAGCGACCCTCCATCTTCCCCATCTCCCATCCCGTCCATGTTATCCGGCTGGCAATTGTGCTGTTCACACTCAAGAGAGTTTATACTTTCACATATTCTACAAACAAATGCATCTCTGAGACTATTTGGGAAATTCCTGCTTCTATGCTTGTTCTAGGAGTTGAGAGGACATGAGGAGCAGTATTGGATGAGGAGTGTTCTTAGGAGCAAGGGGTTGGGGACAAAACAAGTCTGTGTTTGGATGCCAAAGCTCTCTTGCAACAGGCCCTCAAGAGAAGCTGTGCTCAAGCCAGCACAGATGAGCATATAAAATACAAGAGACTGTAACTAGAGTATAACAAAAATGAAAAAGGGAAGTGGCAAGGGTGGGTGCAAAAACTGCTCAAAGTCAATGACTATCAAGCTCTTTGTGTGAGATAGGGAAGAAAGAGGATGAGGAAATTGCAATGATGTGGACTGACTTTATATTTCTGAGGGTGAGTGGCATTTGGTCTTTGTCATATGCATTGAAGACAAGAACAAAGGCAATTTTGGTACCACCAAAGGCAAGGCCATTGTCTCTTGCATAGATGACATTCAAAGGTATTTGAATGGTTCATCTATGCTTGTTCTAGGAGTTGAGAGGATGTGAGAAGCAGTATTGAATGAGAAGTGTTCTTAGGAGCAAGGGGTTGAGGACAAAACAAGTCTTTGTTTGGATGCTATAGCTCTCTTGTGACAGCCCCTCAAAGGAAGCCATGCTCAAGCCACCATAGGCACAAAGTGGAAATCCAGCAGATTGAGAGGGAGCAAGAGGCATGGCCACATGAAGTCAAGCAGACAGGTGGAGGATATAGTCATGAGGAACATCAATATAGAGTTTGTAAGCATCACTATGCTATCTTCATAGCAACTGAATCTCATAGTCAGAAAACCCAGCTACAGCAGCTGATGATGCAGCTTCATGCTAAAAACTATGGTCAGAGAAACTGGATGAGTCCAGCCCAAAAAGAGCAAGATGATTCTTCAAAGTGTGCATGAATGCATTATGATAGAGTGGATCACCATTTATATCTGCAAACAGTGGGACTCAGCCATCCAGAGGATTGATTGTAAAAAGATTCTTCAATGCTGACACTGCACATATAGAAGATTCAGATGCAGTAGCAATCAAGACTGTGATGCCTTTGATGCAGGAAGTGTAAGATGAATGTGGAATGGGTGATCAAAGTCAGACAGGAACTGAATGGTATCCCTGATAATGTGCACTGCAGGATTGAAAACTTCATTGTCTGACAGAGTGAATTCTCCACAATGGAGAAAAGCTGACCATGCAAGCTTGGATGCAGCATCAAAAATAGCATTGTCAACATGTGAGGTATTTTCTGCAATAGAAGACAACATTTGTAGGATATTCAGTGTGATAAGCATCTTGGAGTTCTGCTCTCACTCACTATAGAAGCACTTGATACCTCAAAGGAGGCACTGGACAGACAAGGACTCACACTGATTGAAAGAAAGCCCTGCATTGATATAAAGTGAGTATAACACACTAATATATGATTTGATGGTCTTTGGCATCAATTCTCTGGAGTCTAATCAGGCCACCCATTTCATTACTGCAGTGATACTTGCTGGTAAGAATTGGCCTGGAGAGTCCATAAACTTGGGATGAAGTCTGAGGAAGTCAATAAAGGATTTCTATCTACTGGAGTATGTTTTCTGAGTGCTGGATGCAAGGCTATAGAAGAGAAAGAATGTAATGTGTAAAGAGTAGTGAGAGTGTGTTTTATAGAATAAAGATGGGACTTCATTGAAGAGGATTTCTTTTGAAGGTTGAATGCAAGTTGAAACATCTGGTGATACTGAAAATGAGATGTTGTATTAGCAGTGCCATTTTCAGCAGTAGGAATCCAAACCAAGAAAAAAGAGAAATCCAAGCAAGATACAAGTATTACTATAATCTGAAGGACTGTCATACTATGTGAAGACTGACTTGTCTCAGAATTGAGCCAGCTAACCACATTCTGATTATCACAATGATGTTATGATTTTTATCTTTTTCTTCATCTTAACTCCTATTTATGCTTAGTCAGAGCACTTAAGCCAGCGCTTAAGACCATGAGACAAGCTTAGTCATTATAACAGGCTATGTCCATCTTTGTTTTTCAATACAACAACTCTCAATAATGCACAACAACCCTTTTGTAGATAGTAGTGATATCCAAGGACAATGAGCACAATGACTTGGACTAGTATAATAGGCAGTAGTATATTTATCTCAATAAACAAGTAGTATAAAAGTAGAGTAGCTCTTGCTGGTATAACCCTAGCTTTGAGCTAAAGTTTATTCATATACCACTTTACTCTCAAGCCTCTTGTAATGGCTTTGAAGTATATTAGTCAACAGATACAAACAAATAGACTCAGATGTGACTGTATGAATACAATACAGCATTTGTTTATTATGTGTTCTGATTATGTGCAACTTGGATCTAACAATTAGCTTGAAGCTTATGCTTCTCTTTCTTTATGCACAATAAGCATGAAGAAAATCAAATGCCATCAGCATTATTATAATTTTTCACCTTATTCTATTTTCTTTTCTTGATTAACCCCTATTTATGCTTAGTCAGAGCACTAGCACAAGTGCTTAAGACTGTGAGACAAAGCTTAGTCATCACAACTAGCCAAGTTGGTCATTGTCTTTCAACACAACAATGTTGTCTGACAATACACAATCATTCTTTTATATACAGTAGTGATATTCGAGGACAATAGGCACAAAAGACTCAGCAATATACAATTAGTAGTAGTATATTTAGATATGACTTGTACAGTATTTAAGATGGTTTGCTCTTGCTGATAACCCTCAGCTTTGAGCTAAAGTTTATTCACACCATTCTATCCTTGAGCCAATTCTCTTTAGCCTTGTGACATACTGATCAGTTTATGCATCAGTGAACTCAGCTGATCTCCCAAAGTGTGAGGAGACTAGGCTGTTTATCACATGTATCTGTTCACATAATGCTTGGGTCTAACAATTAGCTCAAAGCTGTATCTTCTCTTTTCTCACATACTATAATGCAGAGGAAACTGAATACCCTCTATCAACTCATCAGACCTGAACTTTGATTGAGAGTTCTTTGAACTCCTATTCTCCATCATCAGAACACTCTTAGACTTACTTGTGATCATCCAGCTGTGCAGGAGACATCACTCAATTACTGCCTAGACAATCTGACATTATAATGAATTCCAACATATCTATCACATACTCTATAATATAACCCCTAATCTACCCCTCTATGATATCTCCAAATCCAGAAGAACAACCTACTAGCTCTTGAACAGCCCTGTTCCACAAGCTGAGCCTAGTGGAGTGCATCAGAGGAGCAATCAAGAAGAAGAAAGGCATGAATACCCCTCTTGACTCAGATCAGGAGACTCTGGTATCACAGGATTCTGAAACCCATGGATCCCACCTATCCTAGTTGACAACAACCAGCAGTCTCTCCCCTCCCATACCACCACCTCTCAAATCCACAGGATTGCTGACTGTGCTAGAGATTCCCTTGATGCCACTCAGATGGCTTCAGAACTCTGACCAGTGTCTTCTTGCAGCCAGTCTCATGGCACCTCTCCTCCCATCTCCATCAGAACCAGTGGTGAGATGGAGAGGACATCCTCAGTCCAACTCAGAGATGAACAACAAGCATAAGAAAACCAGAAAGAGGTCATTCATCACCTCTTCCTCACATGGGACCTTAACATCCCTTTCAATTATGAAGCCACTCTCTGTCAAGAAGAACAAAGACAAAGAAACCTCTCTCAGCCCCCATGGAGTGAGCTGGAGGAGTGTCTCCTCACAGAAGAAAGAGAAAAGAGGAGAGCCAGAAAAGCCACCAAGCATGATCAGCAGCATAGGGAGCAGCAGTGGGAGGTGGAAAGGGCCTGATTGAAAAGAGCTGACATCTTAAACTGGTATGGACTCCAATCTGAAGTCATGTCCATACTTGCATCAGTATGAGCAAACCACTCCTTATCAACCTCTGTATTTAGGGAGCCCAGAACAGCCAGCTCAGATTCCTGAGCATCAGAGTGCTGGGTCAATGCAGAAATCCTCACAGCTGATGAAGCATGAAATGCTGCTCCCATCTGCTCTCCAACCCCACAATATCCTCCTCCTCAAAGAACTCCCAGTGCAGACACAACATTTGAAGATGATGAGTCTGTCCTCAGACACTATAGATTATGAGTCTTCAGAAATGCTCACATCCCTGTCTGTGTCTTCTGAGGCTTTCTCAGAAGCAGAGTGGTCAGGCAGCTCATTGACCACTAAGGATACCAACAAAATGTCTGCCTCTATCATGAGTGAGTGAAGACAGAAAGAGTGACTGGAGAAAACCAGTATGACTCCAATATTGGAAGTCAGCCCAGAACTATCTACCTTAACACCTCAGACCATTTCAGCCTTGCCACTGGGCCAAGTACACAGCCAGAACAGTGGAATGACAGTATGACTACAAGAGAAAAAGGAGAATTTCTACAACCCATCCACCACTTTCCCTCTCAAGGAGGAAGAGGATGACAGGGACAAAGAAGAGGAAACTGAGAGCAGTGAACTGCTCTAAGCAGGAGAGGAGCTCATGTATGCATTAAACAAAGATACTGACAAAGAAGCTCTGAATGAAGAAATACAGAATGCAAGAGTGCAGGAGTATCAGGAATTGTATCAGGCAGGGGTAAACTTTCTATGGTGTGACACCAACCAGTTGGTGTTGCAAACTGAACAATTATATTTGCATACAGAAACTCATAAATAAACAGAAATATTAAAGCATGTGGCAATAAGATACACAGTCCAACAGTGTAACAAACACCACTCTGAGGATCTAGTCAGCATACCACCAGAATATCAACCACCAACCATAATCTGATCAATACTGTGGTCACCTCCTATTACTCCAAAATGTGCTGTATACACAACACTGTCAATCTGAAGCATCTTTTCATACTCTGCTTTATCCTCTCAATCCATGGCAACTTGGCTATCTCAGTTCCAAGCTCAGCCAAAGGAACTGCCAACCTCATATCAAAACCTCTGGACCAGCAAAGGAAGCTGGATCCTGGAAGCTCAGCCCCCACTTGATGAGGCAACAGAGAGTGAGACAGGAAAGGAGCCTGTCCAAGATGATCCAGAAGCAATCAGGCTAGGCTTTACTATATGAGACAGAGTAATCATCCAAAAAGAAGCTGTCCCACAGGGAAGCCTCATAGCTGATAATAATTCACTCCATTTCTTCCCATGACCATCCAATAAGTGGTGCTGATCTCCTTTTTCAGAATGGCTCAACCCTATGAGCATATTATCAGAAAACGCTGCAGTCCTGCAGTGTTGACCTGATTTTCTCCATAAACCTCACTCCTTTAAGGGAATGTCTGATGATATAGACTGCTTCCTTGTTGATTGCAAACAATACTTTGAGGTGTACATTGGATACCTTGAAATGGATATGAACAAAGTCATCTTCATTGCCTCCTATCTCAAGGAGAAAGCAAATTCTTATCTCTTCAAACTTCTGATTATCAACTCAGGAGCATTACTGATACCTCTCATGGTCAGTGTTCAAACAAATGCTGCATGACAAGTTCATCAATCCAGTGGTACAAGAGGTCTATAAACAGAAGATCAAGGACTATAAGATGGGAGATAAAGTGGCAACAGACTACTTTGATGAGTTAGAATGACTCATGAAACTTGCTGGGATCCAGGATGACATGGCCAATGATGGCCAAATGGTTGAGGCCCTTAAGAGAGGAGTTTCCCTCTCATATGTCATGATAATCTCTGCAATCAGCATCAAAGCTTTGATGCTAATTGGGTATGACAAATAGAAGGAAAGGATCATTGAGATGTATAAGGAGTGATAAAGGCAGAAAGCAGTGACATGCCCTCTCCATGTTCAGGCATGTAAAATTGTGAAAATTGCGAATACATAGACTGCATTCCAGTCCAGTAAGCATGTAACTGAAAATAGGACTAGAGCACACAGAAACCTAGCTATCATAATGCTAAACTGAAGTAACAATAAGCAGAGTGCATGGCCTAGTAACAGACTAATATCAGAGGGGTTAGACTGCATGTGAGGTCCCAGCACTTGGCCCTAAATGTGCTAATACTATTACAAGAGAACATGCTAAAAATAAAAAGACTACAATCAAAATATGATTGGCAATTCTGATCACATTGATCAAAGATGCACAGCCATTGATGCACTGATAGGACATGCTTT